GGAAAGAGTACGGCTGTTGCTAAAAGTGCCAGTTTATTTAATGGGAAACTCAGCTACTGTGCAAAAGCTTTGCCAAAGATAGATGCTTGTTCTTGGTACTTAACTCGGATAAATTCTTGGGAGTTTTAGTCTTAATGCTTAGGACAGCCCATTGTGCTATAGCTGGAACTGTCCACCTGCTGCCTTTAAGGCTTTGTTGTCTTTTGCTTAATAAATTACTGCTCAAAATAAATCTTCCTTTCGACAGAACTTACGTGTTAGTTGTGAGAAGGAATGGGTATTTTCAGAGAGCAGGAATTGATGTGTTTTAAGATTTCTTGAATAATTATAGCTTTAATGTTTTGGTTGTTGAAGGTGGTGTTTTATAGATGGTTCAGTTCAGTGCTGTCCTTTTTCCAGAGACAACTGTTGCAGTTAAAAAGTGATGACTGTCCAACTCGTGTTTCAGCAAAACGCGTGTACAATAATCTTTCAGATCTTGTTTAAGCCCTTATGTGCTAATTTAGGCATTTGTGTGCAGAATTTGTTGTCCTAACATAGCTTTAAAAGAGGAATAGTTTTAATTAGAATTAATAAATAACCCTCTGAAGTGATCAGGTTTTATTATGTAGCCTTCCTTTTAATACAAGTGTTGACACAAGAATGTGGCTTATTAGTTGTCTCCATCTGCTGGCAGAATGGAAGTGTGCTTTATGTGGCTGACTTTTCATGGAATTGAAAGATCAAAAGATGAAAAGAAATGATGCTAAATTTTTGTGCAGATTTACTCAAATTGGGATTAGTGAATGAAAGAGAACAGTTATTTTCTAAATAATTACTTAATTCTGACACAACAGTAACCAAACACTTAAAAACCTGGGGGTTTATTCCATTACATACTCTCCAATTTGATAGCCTCCTTATGGGCCAGATCTGCAAGCCTACATAACTACTAAATAGTTTTGTCAGACTCAGCCTTTTTATGATTTTTAGAACTGAAAAGAAATGTATATGCTGCTTCCCTGCTGTTGTTAACGTTTCTACTGTTTTACATTTTCATATGTAATTACAAACACAGCACTAGTTTTTACCCATACTCTCTTAAACTGTGGGCTGAGTGAAGTTGTCTGTCATTCAATTACAAAAAAAATAGTTAGAGAAAATAATTGTACACGTGACGTTAGAGGTTTATTTTTGGTTTATTACTTAAAAAAAACCCCCAAACTCACAAAACTGAAAGAACTTTTTCCCCTGCCAAGGGCATTCTTTGCTTCTTCAGTAAACTGATTCAAAGTGGGCTTCTCCTGGCTCCTTTCATACCGGTACCAGAATTACACCATCGAGCCTTTTAGTGTGATGCACAAGCACAGCTGTTCTATCATGAAACAAAACTTCCATTTTCTAATTCCTTGTTGTCTTGATTCTGTTGTACTGCTTTAAGAGTCACCATAGTGTAAAAAATTCCTGCTAAATTAATCAGGTAGGATTCTGAATTTACACATTAGATGAGGCATTTTTAATAAACTGCTGTTTGGAATTTAGAACTCCTCTTATTTCCAATATTTGGAATTTTTTCAGGCTTTGGTAATTCCCGTATAGGAACTCGGGGCTTTGATTTTTTAACTACAAATAGCAGTATTTTGATTTTGTTCTCTCCTCCTTTCTACACCACTCCTAACCCCCAAAGTAGTACATTTACAGGTGATGAGAAAGCTGTGTACAATTAGAATGACCTCATCAAGAACTTGCAGTCTGTCGTTTGTGAACTGAATACACGTTGGTGATAATGAAACAGGTGTTGACATTGAAAATTCTATCATTGCAAAGCAGGTACAAAAGAGGAATCGGAACCCAGGGTGACATTGACTGGGGTTTGTATCATTCTCGGCATGGTTGCCCTTTTCTTATGAGAGGTTCCTGGAAAAGAGAGGGGAGGATGGAACTGGAAGTAAGTAAAAGCCATTGAAGGTGTGTAGATTGAGGCAGTGCATATTGGAGAAACTGATTGTGTACACACAGGCGCACACACTGCATGGTCTGCACCAGTCAGGAAAGGTTGGACTGGAGAGGTGCGCTCAGCCTCTCTACTCTTCCATCAGAGCACTTTGTTACTAAATGCAGCATCCAGTTGCATGATCATAGGTGTTTACTGTTTAATAGGTAAATATTTGGAGAAGTCCTGCCACAATCTTCAGCAATTTTTTTTTTTTTTAAATTTTTTAACACCTTGCGTAGCGGGGATTGCCCACACACATCATTAGTGTGTGCCAGTTGCCAGTTTGAAATCCCCCCAAAGACATCCTTAGTCTCTGCAAAAGTAAGACTTCTGGCTTTGTTTACATACAAATCGAAACCAAGGACCTATCAGTCCTTTGTCCAAATCTGGGAAATGCTTACTTTTGCAAGCACAACTCAAAATAAAGGAAAAAAAAATGTTCTATTAATTTGCTTTGGTAGTTAGCCAAAATTTCACAAAAATACTAGGCATTGTATCATCTAACCTACTTTGCAAAATAACTGATGGACTTATCAGTGCCAGTGTGTAAACTTGTATATTTTAAGGCAAGCAGTCTTTTGCTGTGATGGAAATGATTGACTTACTTACTTGGGTCAGCGGGGGGGGCAGAAGAGAGATGATAGTTCACAGAATAACCTGTGAACTTTCACCCCTCTATATGGAAACTTGTTTCAGGGTCAAATCCTTGTAGCTGCCTTCTTGCCACGGTCAATGCCAGCCCTACTATTCACAACACTGCGGCCATCGAGGCCTAGGTACGTAAACATTTAAGGAGTTTTTAAAGTTCTTTACATCAAAACAGATTTTTAAAATTTCTGTTTATAAGCTTTCACCATTTAACAACTATTATGTTAATGATGATATGAAAGAATGTGAAGACTACTGCTGCTAAACTGTGTGGCTAAGCGCCTTTTTTCCTTTAAAAAAAAAAAGAAAAACCTGTATGTTTCATGTGGATTTTCAGAGTAGAACTTGAATGTGCAACTGCTGTATAATAAAACGGGGAAACTTTTTTTTTAATATATTTAAAATATGCCTAAACACTGTGCGAATGTCATTACTAAATGTGCTTGTATTTTGTTCAATAACTAGGTACACTTGGCACACATGTTGCCAGTTAAACAGTTAACACTGCCTCCTTTCACAAGATGAGAAGAGATGCATTGGAACCAAAGTAGCGTGTTTAGAAATGGATGGTTATCGTTTGATTAAATACACATGTCTGCAATGGGTCACTTGCCACTTTTGGATTGCGTTAGAAATTTCTTAAGTTGTTCTTTTTTGAAAATCTTCATTTGTGTCTCGTGTGTCTGCGTGAATTCTGGTTTATACAAGATGTTAATGTATACAAAGCTAAGGTGTATTTTTTTAATTGAGTCTGTAAAAGGTTGTTAGAAACATTTTTTTGGAAGCTCCCACTGATTTTTTAAAATCCCAGTGCTAACTTTAGGACTTGTTTTACTTTTCTTTTTCTGGATAGGATCAGTTCTTAAGAGCAGCCCCTGTAACTGGAGGAATGGGAGCTCAGCTGATGAGAAAAATGGGCTGGAGAGAAGGAGAAGGGCTTGGGAAAAACAAAGAAGGCAGCGTTGAGCCTATTATGGTCGATTTTAAGACAGATCGAAAAGGTGAGCCTTTCCTTCAGTGTCTTATGGTAAACTTCTCATGTCTGTTTTGGAGACAGGCAAAATAATTTCATAGTAGTAAGCTTTTCCTGGCTACAATTTAACTGTAAAAATTAACAGAATTAACTTAGATGCTTTTGGTACTGGTTCTTCAAACCCTGGATTATGTGTATAGGCTTTGTCCTCGTGCCTGTGAACTCTTCTGGATGTTCTTTAACTTTCCTTAACCTTAACCTCACCTTCCCTTTTAAAAAGTGCTTCTCAGTGGTTCTGGAGTTAGGGATGTGCCTCAGTTTTAGGTGTGGAGGAAGCACGAGCAGGGAATTGAATGGAAGAGCCGTTGCGGTTGGTCTGGAGAAAGCAGCTGAAGCAGGGAATGGGGCAGGATAGAAAATCGAATTCTTTGATCAGTTCGAAACTGAGGTGAAGGACAGAGGTGAGAGCTGCAGAGCTGGGTTCCTGCTGCCTTTCAAGTGAAGGCCTCTTTCCATGTTTGTTTCCAAGGATTGCTTTGGCAGTCTTTCCTTCTCCTCTTTGTACAGTCCATGACCACAGGTGGAGAGCTGTTGTCCTTGTCTCATTTGATGCAAAAGATCTGTCCTCCAGTTTCCAGGGAGCGTGCTTTATATGATTGGCCATCTTACGAGCATATTCAGTAAGAGCTCTGTTTTCAGAGTGAACGTTTATGAAATACCTGTACAAGTTATAACCATTTTAAATCCAAGATGCTGAATTTCAGTAGTCAGGAGTCACGATTTAATTGTTCTGTTATGCATGTTTAACTGGCAACACTGACTGCGGGGAAAATGAATTCTTACTGTTGTTCTCCTAAATATATTTATAAAAATGGCAATCTTTAATATATTCAGTTGCTCCCATCTAATATTAAAGTATCAAAATAAACATTTAAGTATGAAGTGCAGAGAGGTAGAAAATGAGAAGGAAAGCCTATGTCATGAAAATATCCACTGCTTTCTAAATTCTAAAGACTTCTAGCAGTGTAATACAGTTTTATAAATAGAGAAGTGCAGCAGTCTCAAAATACAGACATCTTTGATTTGTATGAACAGTGAACAGACTTGCTTTTCAGCTGTTTTTTTCCTGAACAACCTTTCTATTTAAAGAAAGGAGAAAGAGGGAAAAAAAAAACAACAACCAAAACCAAACCTGGTGACAGAGCGATTGCCAAGAAAATCTTTGGAAAATATTTTGTTACTGTTACTTGGTACCTAGTTACTGTGGTCTTTGTAGATGATGTCTTGTAAAGCTCTCCCTGCTGGTAAGAGGTCCCTCAGTTTAGTGTGGTTAATAGCAGGCAGAGGGAAGAAATTGCAAACAAGTCCATTTCAGGATTATTTTCTCCAGAAGCCTGCGTAAGTTAGGAATGGATTTTTGTGTTGAGGAGGAAGTTGGCTCTGTTTGTTGTGTTGCTTGCTTCTTGTCATGTCACAGGAAAGAGGCCGTACTGCTGCACAATCTGTCAACACTTGAACATTAGAAACACTTTGGTGACACACAGCTATGTCACAGCTCAAGTGTCCAGTTCTGGAAGTGTGTCCCAGGATCCTCATGTGGCTTTTGGTATAAATTTCCTTAATGCCTGCAGAATGGAATACCAAAGTTTCAAGCATCGAGCCCTGAGGTCTGAGACAGGATCAGGCCCTCATTGTGCTGGGCACTCTGTAACAGATGGTTTGCTTGCTCTGTTTCACGTTCTTCCACAACAACTAAATATGTTTGGTGGGGTTAGGGGATGCCTTTTCCTGGCATGTAATAGAGTCATCTAAAAATACCGATAACCTTAGTAATAGCTGGACTTCGCTTTAAATTCATAGCTTAAAAATATTTGGTTATTATCATATGTGCAATCTTACCTGATAATTTACACGAAACGTCTAAGAATGTTCTGTGTTGATAAAGAATACTCTGTAAAGTTGAGTCAACCAAGTGTATAATATAGGGAGACAACTTGCATTATGAAGAGGCAGCATGTTTCATGTATTACAAAGAAGCAACTGAACAGTGATTATACATTTATGATGAGTAGCTGAAAAGCTGCTTCAAACGTTGTGGTCTTTGATGCTTAAACGTTTAAAAAGTCATTTTTTTTTAAAGTTCTGTGTAGAGGCCTAAAGAAGAGTCTGAAAGTTTTAAAAAGAGCCTGTCTGCTATTAAGTAACCAACCCATTTTTGTTTTGTTGGGTTTTTTAAACACATTTTTAGATCTTGTGCCCCAGATAAAATACTGTTTCTGGATAGAGGAACAGGCAGTTTGCTCAGTGGGCTGCACTAAGACGTGAACCAAAAGGTTGTCTGCCTTTGCCATAACTTTCTCTCAGACCTTGTTTTCCAGACACTGAGCGAGATCTGTAGTCCTCTCGCGGGCAGCAGAGAAACCAAACCCCGAGCTTTGCTGTCGGGCAGGAAATTGTTGGTTGTCTGCATTCAAAGAAACTTGGTCCATCGGCTCTTGGGGACAAGCAGAGCTTGTTGGAGTCTGTTGCTGCCTTTTCTGAAAGTCCTTCCTGAGATACCAGGGACAAAAAGCCGAGCATCGGTGGCTTACAGTGAGGGAGACACAGTATTAATGTGGAGGATGACGTCAGAGGTTTTTTCTTTGGAAATCTTTGGTTATTTTGGATATAAAATTCTGTAAGGAAAAACCAAATAAACCACTCTTTTAATCATTGTTATCTATGAGACTTTCAAGTCACTTGAGAAGTCCCTACTTAGGAGCTGCATGAATATTAGGATGAAAATCTGGTAAGGAGGGAAGCATTTTCTTTTAAAGCAAAACAAAACAAAACACCAACCAAAAAAAAAAAGCTGAAGAAACAGGAAGAAACTGGAAACAATTGCAGTATCTCCCTGTCTTTAATTCACCAAAGCCAGGAACAGACACAAATTGAGGTAAGAAACAAAAATCATATTGAAGGATCGAAGTCTGAGAAATCCTGAAAAAAAATGGTCAGGTATTTTGCTTGTGTATTTAAGGTAATGGTAAAATTAGTTGAAAGAAACTTGAGTCACTTCGTAAGCATGATGTGGTTACTGGCATTTGATAAGGCTTTGCTTTGGCAATTCTTACATTTTATTTCTTACTCTTAAGATTGTAAAAAGAGAAATGTTCATCTTCTATGTTTCACTGTGACCTCCATTGGAAGTTGTGCTCTTTGTATTGAATTTGGACCCAGCTGCTTGCTTTTCTGCTGCTTTATATTCAGATGTGGTTGAAATAGTGGTAATTGGGCTGTGAACTTGCACATAAAGGATAAATACTTGAATACTGTTAAATAAAAATAGCAGGTGTTGTAAGAACACCACTGTGTTATTTGTGTTACAAAAGGACACACTAGGTACGCTTTTTGCTATTTAATGTAAGTAATTCAAATGCGTAGTTGTTGGAGGCAGACTGTTAAGTTATCTGTGTGACTTCTGGGTTGCACAAAACAAATACTGCATGAGAGAATGTTTTGATGTTGATCTCTTGTTAAGTGTTTCCCCAAAGAGAGCATGGAAAAAACCCCAGGTGTTTCCTGACTTGCATAAAACTACTCAAAGTTTTCTACTACCTGGCTTGTTAAGAGGCTTCCTAGAGCAGTTGAGAAGAATGTTGTGTGTAGTGTGGAGGGGAAAAAAATGCTGGATGAAAGGGAGGTTGGATAGACTCCTGAGAAGACAGCTTTGTGGTGTCACCAGGCTTCATCTCCACTGCTAAATGTGACTGCTTTACTGATGAGAATCCAGAAATCGAGTGGGAATCATACGTGTAAACTCCGTTGTGTTTTGTTCAGGGCTTGTTGCTGTGGGAGAGAAGGCACAAAAGAGATCTGGACATTATGTTGTGATGAAGGATCTTTCAGGTGAGATTCTTGTCTTTAAAACAAATCTCATTTAAAATGCTTGTTTTGGGAGCAGCATTTGAAATGGCAAATATATTTTGTCTTTAAGGTAAACATCCAGTTTCTGCACTGATGGAGATCTGTAACAAAAGGCGATGGACACCACCGGAATTTGTGTTGGTGGATGATAGTGGGCCTGATCATCGCAAACATTTTATCTTCAAGGTGTGTTTGAGTTTCCCTGTTTACTGTTGTTTTCCCTGTTAAAAGGTGATTTAAATTCATGTTCCAGGGGCGGCTGAGGGCTAAGCAGCGTCTCAGTGCAGAATTTCAAAGTCATTTTTCTGTAAAGGCCAAAGTGGATCTCTCAAGCACATTGATCTGTAAATCCATCAAGAAATACACTGCTGCACTTCTTACTAAAACAGTTAACCTACGTGGTATCATATTCTTGCTCTTTACTGGCAGGTGTGCTGCTAAGCCTTACTCCTGTAATGGTAGTGAGCAAGATGTAGTTGTTTTTGTCCTCCAGTTATCTTAGGAGGTGGGCTTTCCTTTTCATGCAGTACCTTGTATTGGCAGTTACTATTTGGGAATGGTTGTGTGTACAGTCCAGACATGGATTTTGCCTACCCGTAAAGAGGAATTACATAGAGAATGTGCTCGAAGGAGCTGTGTATAGTGCTGTCTCAAAATAGACCTGAAGAGGCGCTTTCTAATGCTTCTTTTTTTCTCCCCTTCTTTCGTGAACAGGTGAGAGTCAATGGAAATGAATACAGGCCTACTTTTGCCAGCCTTAATAAGAAGCATGCTAAAGCCACAGCAGCAACTGCGGCTCTCCAAGCGATGGGACTTGTACCAAAGGAAAGCATGGTTAATACCACCATGTTTAGGAGTGCCTCACACCGCTAGATATTGTTTTTTATATTGACATTATTTCAGATAATTTTACTCTGCACAAAAATGGTATTTGCCCTTTCATGTTGTAAATACATTGGCAATTCCCACATTGTAAAAACTGTACAGGCACCTTCAGGTTTTTCTTTTGTACCATCCAAATGTATTTAAATCATACTTAGTTTTTGGTATGTTTATATTGTTTACATTAGTGATGTAATTATTTCTTAAATGACTAAATCAGACGACAGACTCTGGAGGCATCAGTAATCTAAACCCCTGTTTTAAAACTCATGCAATTTCTCTTCAATACGGAATGTTAACTATTTCATACTGTTTTGTACTATGCTGCAGTTTTCCCCGGTCTTGGTAAAGCTGCTGGCGCGCTTTTGCCAGCAGTGGGTGGAAGGTGGCGTGACTCACCTTAGTCTGGAGGAGGCTGGCGTGTACTGCTGGGCAGGTACGGGGCCAGCACCATGAGAGCGCGGCAGCAGCCCTGTCGCGCAGCGTCCGCACTCTGCCATTTGTCCGGGGGCACAGCTCGGTGGTGCGCTGTGACTCAGCCGTGCAGCCCGCGCTCTGGGACACGCGCGATTAGGCCAAGAGTCGCTTTCCAAGGGGTGGCGAGAAGTCCAGCGATGGACCCGATGATACTCGCGACGTCAAGGTGACTCTCCCTGCATGTTCAGAGAAGGGAGACGATGGAGTTGTCTATTCCAAACAAATTAACACACTGCCTGATGTTGATTGTATGATTTGTGGTTAATGTGAATTTTAAACTCTAACAAATCTGCAACTGGATTCGGGGGGGGGGGGGGGGGATAGAATGACGCTTAAATTGTTGTACCCAACTTGGTCAATAAAGCAGCACAAGTTCATTATCTTAATCACTGGTCAGTAAACGGTAATTAAAATACATGCCAAAACAACTTGTTGAAGAAACGCACAGTATCCAAGTACGCTGTATGAGAATTATCAACAGCTGTCAGGGTTACAGAATCAGTTCTAGGAGTCTATGGTTGCTTTGGGCTATTACCAAATTAACTCCTTGGGCTTGATTACTGTTTCTGTAGTGGTATTTTGCCCTCAAGGAGACAGCCTGACCCAGAGTTCTGGCAGTTTGACAAGGGAGAGGATATAGAAAGCTTTTCCTTTTCTTCCTTTAAAAAAAAAATATAAGAAGTATTAGTACTTAACTGTGTGCACTTTGAAATGGAGAGGGCATTGTACACCTCTTGCCAGATTTGTCTTGAGTTACGAGGAGATCACCAGGATTCACGGACTCCAGTAGTTGAGGTGCTTATTTTGGACAAGTGTTTTTGAGGTCTCTCTGTAGTACATCTGCTGATCAGAGCTTTGGCTGGGACAGGAACCAAGTGCAGTTTGTGTGCAGGAAGGCTGTGCTCAGGCCTGAGGCGAACGGCTCTTGCAGTGGTTGTAGGAGCTCGGAGGTGAAGAATCGCCGGCACCTCGTCTTCCCAGAGGAAGGTGACTTGTGTGGGTCCTGTCAGCTGTTACAGAACAAGGTGTCTTTGCCCTCGTGGGACATGGATCAACGTGAAATGGTATCTGGTTCTCCACCGCACGCTTCTGAGAAATAAAGCCCCTTATTAGTCTGTCAAGGCGCGCTAGAAATGCTGAAGTTTATCTTAGTTTTCATGGATGTAGTTGTCTTTAATTAAACTTTTTTCCCTTTGGCTACTTGCCTTCAGCCTCTGACTAAATATTTGAAGATCTCCTTGCCTTGTTTGCTGAACTAGTTGCAAGTTGTGTGTAAAAAAAACAAACAACAAAAACCCATCCAAACAACAGCCCATAAGTAGATAAGATGGTGCAGCAGTGGGAAGCTCTACTGTGGATGAACTGGGTGTGGTATCGGTCTTAGCTGGAGACTTTTCGATGTGTGACTCCAAGTAGTTAACTGGGGATGTGGGAGCAGCTCCTAATGACTTGGGTTTCAATGGCTGCTTTGACAGAGCTACAACATCCGTGGTGTTGATGGTTCTGTTCAGTCTGTGGTGTGCACTGGTTTCACAGCTGTATGGGATCCCATCTGGGAACACACAATCTCTTGTACTTGCTGTTTTGTTCTTTTTTTGGTCTGTATTGCCCATGTATAATGTAAAGGTAACTTCACGGCAGCGAGGAGCAGATGAATCCAGTCCCAGTGGAGACTCCGTTTTAAAAAACAACTGTTTAGGCAAGTTCTGGATTTCATGCCTTAAAGATGTGGTACTGTGTGTGGATTTAACCTTCGGTTTTAAGGAAGACTTACAAAAAAAGAGACCAGTTAAGATCTGTAACGCCCTCATTATGACACTTCTTGATTTTAAGGTTTCTGTTTTAGTTGCATTCCTTGTTGTTTAGAATGATACATGAATCTACAGCTAGTGCAGCGACGTGCTTCTGTTAAATCTGTACATTTGAATCGGTTTGAGTGTCCTTTGCATGCAGGAGTAGACGAGTAGCGCTATATTAAAAATAACGAGGAAACGCTCTCTCGGAACCTGGTTATTTATGCAGCACGTGAGCTGGCTTTCAGGTGAACAGTCTGTGGCTGTGGTTCCCGCTGATGGAAGTCATGATCTGTGTTGCTGTTGGATTTCCTTTTGCTGCAGAATTATTTTCCAGGAAGTTTTCTTGCTTTCTGAAAGTGCTTCTGACTTCCCTGTGGCGAGGAGCATTTTGAAACGGGTGCCCCAGAACTTGCAGCCAGCTTCTACCAGAACAATTTCCTGGCAGTCTTCTAGTTGGTGTTTTTTAAATAGGACTGGAGAACCAGGAGGTTGCAGTTCCTATGCCATGGGAAATTTGAAATTGCCTCTTAACGTGCAAAAACCAGTAAGAAGTTTTAATCAGCTGCTACAGTCTTTAGCTCTCCCAAACAAATCGTAGTGATGAAAATTCATTCATTTGGGCAGGTTAAATAAATAAATCTTACTGCTCTGAGTGTCTGGAATGCTGGTAGTGTTTACTGAAAATACCTTTGGGTGCAAGAGAAGGAGCCTGGGTGGTGTAATGCTGTGGCTTTTCTTGGGAAAGTTCACTTGAGCCAAATACGCTTCAAGCGCAGCAGCACTGACTCCTAGAGCTGTAAGCAACTGCAGTATCCTGAAATTACAGGCAAAGCTGTGGCTTAAAGCCAACAGTTTACAAGGAGGAGCTACAGCTCAGCTAATGGTGCAAAGCACGTGATGCGAATTGGGTGGTAAATATTTGAAATTGCGCTGTTCCTAGACTACAGGAATGCAATTGCAATTCAGGTTCTTCTAAATGACGGCAAACTATTAATTGGTGCTGGTGTTGGCTTAACAACTCTCACACACAAATTGAAATTAATACAATTATTGTATTTCCTAGAAACAGATGGGCTCAAGTCCACACACCAAAGTGGTCACTGGCTTGGTTAAAATTGCTTTGCCATGGAGGCAGCTACCGAATTGCTTTTTCCTCTTGCTGTCAGCAGCCGGCCCCAAGCGCAGGCTGGGAAGGTGCAGCCCGTTTGGGATCTGGGGCAGTGGGCTCAGAGGTGGTGAGCAGCTTTCAGAGGGGCTCACCCGTGTGGCCGCAGGGTGGGCTGCGCTGTGCAGCGCACCACAGCGTGGTCACTGGGAGAACCGGTGCTGCTCATCGCCCACAGCGCTGGGTAAGGGTTAGCTCACAGCAGCCTGCAACGCCCAGCAGCAGCGGTGGTGACTGACAAGAGAGCTAAAAAAGGCAGTGAGTTCGCTGGTGTGCTCTTAAAAAAAAAAAAAAGACTGGAAATAGAAGCATAGCTGACACAGCAGCCACTTCAGAAACAAGGCTGTTAGGTAGGGATGGAGAAATGTAAACAGTAATTAAAGTTGAATTGTACTACCCTGAACTCTGCCAGCAATGAAGTATTTGACATCATCAAAGTATCCGATATTTTAAGCTGCATTTTTCCATCCCAAGAGCTGACTTTCCCTTTAGGTTTTCGAGGTGCTCTCTTGTTTGGTGTACCACAAGGCTGACGGTGGCGTGGGAGTTCCTGTAAAGTAACAAGTGTAAACGTAAAGTGTTCAGTGTAGCTGCACACAAGCTGTGTTCTTGGGCTGGGATAAGTGGTGTTGATAGGAAGTAACTGGAAGGCACAGGAGGCTTTCACCATGCCTCAGTCTGTAATAACTTGTAGTAAAGACGAGGGCAGCTGACCTGAGGGCATTGCTTTATCTTCTGTGCTGGAGCGCACAAGAGTGATGCTATTCTACCTATCGCTCTTCAGGTGGAGTATTCTCTGCTGCAGGAACCTGATCACCTGTCGGGTGTGAAAACTGATGCACATGCCTCCAAAACAGCAGCTTTGACTACCTGCTGTGAAACACTGCATTAAACCCATTAATACACTCTGCTGTTGCTACAATCAGATCGGCAGCCCCTGCTGCCTCTCGTTTCCTCTTCTCTTACAGGTGGTGTAACTATGTTATTGCTCCAACTGGTTCTGGTTCAGATTGTAGTGGGTACAAAGTACTTTAAGTCTAGCTTATTTTAACATAAGCAGGGCTAGGAATACTGGACAGCTCTGCCAAGCAGATCTGAGGAATCTTCACCTTTTAGTCTGGTTCCATTGTAGCCAGAATTGTGCTTGTGTCCATCTGACTTGCATCTGTCCTCCTGCAGTTCAGAGCTGTCTCTAAACCAAGAGGTGCAACCTTTCTGCACCCTGTGGCTGTCAAGCTTCTGGCAAGGTGCCATAAGCAGCCTTGGAAGGGGTTTTGCCAACACTTCCACCCCTCCAAAATGGTTCTGAGGTTCTGCACAGAGCTGCAGCAGAAATTCTGTACTGCAGAATTTGCCTGTGCATGAAGAATAGAAACCTTACAGGCACAATTCAAACAATCATGATGTCTTATCAAGTTTTATTTAAAAAAAGGCTTACTAAAATACAAAAGGAGATGCCCACATCCTCTTTAATTTCCTTCAGAAGTCCTCTAAAATGTTTGATGTGCAATGGGTGTCTGTCGTGTTCAGTTAGCTGGTACCACTCCTGGTATTGCACAGGTGCTGCCCGTGTTGACCCAACCGAAGCACAGCGACTGCGCTAGGGAGCATTCTTTGCCATTAAATGAAGCAGCACACCTAGGCCTTCCAGGTGTAGGCGTAATCCTTCATTTCTAGGACTCTGATGGAAGATTTTCCCAACGTTGGACACTGGCTCAGCTGATCCAAAGTCTTCTGCTGCAGTCCACACATGAGAAGATCTTTGCATACATTTTCCTGTGGAAATTCACATGAAGAAGAGAGACATGGAATAGGTATTTCTGTTTGAAATATCCATAGTTTTTAATGTTTGCTTGTGTACCTCTGGGGCGCTCCTGAAGAGCTGGTTTTCCTGTTGCTCTGTTTCTGAGGGAGTGACAAGCCACAAGGGCTGCCAGGTGGTGATCACAAGTAATTGAGGGCAAACCCATGTATTAAGGGGAAGTTTTGTGTCGCTCGGTGTCCCATGGTTTGTAATGAAGACACTATTACTACTGGAAAAGACTGTCTCTGCTAGTTTCCTTACCTTATTTAAGGCAGGGCTTGCAGCATCCAGATTAGTGTTAAACACAGCCGTTGGCTCATGTGCATATAACACAGCAGAGAACGCTCCCTTCTGCGCGGATTTGAGCAGCGTGGTCAAGGAATGCAGGGAATGAGGCAGGACAGGGCCTACGATCTCCAGACTGAAAATGTCCTCGTATGCCGAGTGAACCCTGGCTTTGGCATTAATACTTCGAGCCTGAAGACAAGAGCACACAGGATTAGTTGGTGACACACCAAATCCAGTCCTAAGTATAATTTACTTTAAAACTGCAGTGCCACAGTCACTGTCACAGTCCCATTAAAAGTTCAAAATACTTTTAAATATTGCCAACTTGCTGTTCAGTACCTGAGTATTATGATGGTTTTACTGCCTTTGTAACGACTTCTAGAATGTACCAACTATGGTATGTAGGAATGCTGTACAGTAGTAAGTTAACTGCAGAAGAACAGCACTGAACCACCCTGGTATAAGAGGGCTGCACCACCTGTAGGAGTTGCATATCCTATGGTATCCCCACCTCCTCACAGGAACAGAGAGGGAGCCAGGGTTCAGAGGTGCCCTTGGTGCAAGCAGCTGGGATAGCCTGAGACCACATAAGATCTCCAGAAAATACTAAGAACCATTTTAACATCTGGGAAGTTTGCTTAACCTCTTATTTACCTGGATGTGAGGAATGGAACACTAGGATTTGTTTAGCAGCACAGATCGATGTGGATAGACGATTTAGGGGGCAGTCTGCATTGCAGTCAAAACGCTAACTCGGGCTACAGCAACAAAAGGAACTCTGCTATACCTGAGGGAAACTGTACCAAGATGGTGTCTAATACACTGGGTGAAGAAGCAACTTTCTTAGAAAGCAGTCGGTTGTGTTTGTCACTTACTTTGAGCGTCTGCATTGTCCCGCCTCGGAAAGCAACAGGGGACAGCAAAGTTGGCGGAAGCCCTGCCTGTGGGCCTGTGACAGCCACCAGGCTCTTGCAGTTGATCAGGAAGTTGAGCAAGGTGAACGTGTTTGTTCCTTTCACTAACGCAAGGGACTCGGGCCTGTGATCCATCTGCACCTCGTGCTTCTCCTTACGACTGTAGTGATGGCAGTCAAAGGAAAGCCACAAGGAAGTGAAAAGCATCAACACGCCAAAGGAAGAATTGGAGCAGTGCACTGCCAAAAGAACATCCCCCCCACCTCTGTCCAGTTGAATCACAGAACCACAGAATATTACGAGTTGGAAGGGACCTCAAAAGATCATCCAGTCCAACCCCCCTGCCAGAGCAAGATCACCCAGACTAGGTCACACAGGAACGCATCCAGGCAGGTTTTGAATGTCTCCAGAGAAGGAGACTCCACAACCTCTCTGGACAGCCTGTGCCAGTGCTCTGTAGCCCTCAGAGTAGTTTTTCCTCATGTTCAGGTTGAACCTCCTATGCTCCAGCTTGCTCCCATTTCCCCTTGTCCTGTCATTGGCTATCACTGAGAAGAGCCTGGCTCCTTCCTCCTGACACTCGCCCTTTACAAATTCATAAACATTAATGAGGTCACCCCTCAGTCTCCTCTTCTCCAAGCAAAAGAGACCCAGCTCCCTCAGCCGCTCCACGTAAGGGAGATGCTCCACTCCCTCAACCATCTCTGTGGCTCTGCGCTGGACTCTTTCAAGCAGTCATTTAAACAAAACCAAAAAGCCCACCAAACTTTACACTGATTCAGATTGGTTCTTCAAACATTAAGCAGCATCTTAAACCTGACTTCTGATTTAATTTTGAAGTTGTGAGCTAAAAAGCAATTTTCCAGGTCCAATGTCTTGCAGTTAGCAATCACATTTTCTAAATACCTATAAAGTTAGCAACTACTGGTTTTACTATGAATTTTACTTCAAAACAAACATGAAAATGTGAGCATTGAAGAGTTCAGGCCAGGAGTCTGCTTAAGAAAAAAAAAAACCAACAAACTTAAAAATCTAATGAGTCTTTCCAGTGAACCTGTGTGTGAGGTGACACGATCAGTCTGTGATGTAACAGATGGATCACACAAAGTCTACGTGAACAATTCACAATGGCTTTGCCTTCAAGAAGAGAAGCAACTAGAAATACTTGTCATGAAGAAACTCAAAGACATGCAGAGTATCTTAATATGCAGTAATGTGAGGATTAATATTTGGAAATAAGTTCTCAAAAGCTTTTATAAAACTTAAGCCCATAGCATAAAAAGAGAGCGCCTGCGGAGTTCTCCAGTGTCACGCATCTTGATGTGCAAAGAAAGGATACAGTTTAATAGAAATAGCATCTGGTTTCTTAACCTTGTCTTGGACTCCCATCTCCTCAAGCCAAGAGAAACTTTCCTCATCATCATCATCACTTGGAGCTGGTTCCCTGGAAACAGAGAATCGGTGTCAGAAGGGCAATACTTCCCACAGAGGTTTTCCATACAGAATGTGCAGGAGTCTGCAGATGCCCCTGAATTCTAGCATTGCAGGAGACTTATTACATACTCTTTGTCTTCCACGCTGTTGCCTGCTTCAAGGCTGCTGTTAGCAAGTTCTGTTTCCAAATTCCCTTCAGAGTTTTTCTGTTTGCTGGTTCTTTCTTCTACCAAAGGCAAAGAAAACTCTATGCCTTAAACAGAGGAGGAAAGAAACCAATGAATGGTTTTGCAACACTGCTAACGCACTTTATCAGTTACTCAAATCCTCGTTGGACTGGTGTCACCTCACCTTCATTTCTCATGGCCTCCCTTAACCCCCTGGTTGTGGGAGAGATGGCAGCAGTGATAACGTCGCTGCCGGCAAGACCAGCCGCGCGGAACAGGACAGTGAACTGGTAGGTGCACACATAGAAGTAGGGGCACAGTTTGGCTCTGAGCAGATTGTAGAGAGAAGTAAAGCTGACAGACCTGCCAATGAGAACAGAACAACTCTGTGATTACCTGAAGTGAATTCTTCGCTACTGATGTGTCACACCAGGTTTGGCTGGGTGTCACTGATGTGGATGCACTCTGCACAGATTTAAGGGCATACTAAATGATGGCTCAGATTTTCAGACATGCTCAACGCCTAGGAAGCTGCACTCCTCTGAAACGCAGCCGGTCTGCGAGTGCTCTGCCCTTCAGCACAGCTGCTTTCTAGTGCCTGGGTTTATGTGAAGCACCAAAGGCAACCTGCTAACAGGATTTAAGGAATTCTACCCAAATCAACAACTAGGATTGGAGAGAGGCATTTGACACAAGAAGGCAGCTTTTGTCTTAAACTTATTTCATTAACCTGGTCCTCAAAATACAAGCATTCTAACCGGGAAAAAAAATAAAATTAAAAAGCTTTCATGTAAAAACGGAAAGAGCTCGTGCATGAAATAAAATCCCATTCTCTCAATTGTACTAAACACACCAGTGACTTGGTTCCACTTACCAGTCGCTCATTAGCACTTGCTGCAAGGCTTCATCCTGTGACCAAGGGTTAGCCTTCCCAGCTATTTTCCTATCTGCTCCAATCCGAGGGAACAGCTGCAGCCACGGCAGTGAGGGGTGAAGCCAGTAAACGAGGCTTTGCTGAAAGGCACAACGCAGTTCTGTGGACAGTTTTGGTTCCTAGGTTTCAAAAAGTATTTTGTGAGGACAGCATTGCAAGTAATGGATTAAAAAAATATTACGCTAAATACTAAAATAAAACCCCTCCCAGGCTCGTGAATAATCCAGACTGAAGGAAGACGGACAACGACTGGCAACTGCTCCATGGTTTAAGTTAAAAGATAACTCACTTATGCCTCTTTGCCCCTGTGGGTACAAGCCGTGGATGCAATTAGGTTAGTGGTCTAAATAAGCCTTATTCTGCATGCAAGTAAGACCAAAACAAAACACAGTCAAACGTTCGCTGCCAACATCTATAAGGAAAGGTGTAAAGGTACATTGCGGCTTCACGCTGCTCTCTAAGTATTACCTGAACGCTCTGTGGCAAGTTTGTTTCTGTAGCTCTGCAATGCTGAGCAAATCCCTGAGCCTCCTCCTGTGCTTTTAAATGTTCTGCCCAGGTAAAAGGTTGGGAAGAAGTAAACAGAAGTCGCGTTTTAATACTCCAGTCTGCAGGAAATTCATGCCTTGGTGAGGAGGGAACTTTGGGTACAGCAACAGACAAATGAAGGTCCTTACAAAACAGAAACAGCATCAATTAACCCACAGAAAATTAAAAAAAAACATATGTAGCGATTGGTTTATATTTTAGCAAGCTTAGGTCTCCTCCCATGTTGATTTCACACAATCACAGAATATTAGGAGTTGGAAGGGACCTCAAAAGATCATCCAGTTCAACCCCCCTGCCAGAGCAGGATCGCCTAGACTAAAATACCTAGATTTAATATACCTTGTCTTGCAGGCAGACCAGATACTGAACTACAATTATTAAATGTAACATCTTAAGTTTAGTAGCCTATAAAAATCACAGAATCACAGAACGTTACGGATTGGAAGGGACCTCAAAAGATCATCCAGTCCAATCCCCCTGCCGGAGCAGGAACACCTAGACCAGGTCACAGAGGAAGGCGTCCAGGCGGGTTTTGAATGTCTCCAGAGAAGGAGACTCCACAGCCTCTCTGGGCAGCCTTTTAATTTAAAAGACAAATTAAATCTGCTGTCTCCTGCATGTTTTTGTCTAGTTCGGAGCAACTGTGAAAATGCCAAGCTCATCTTGATCCTAAGGAAGTACTTGCATTAAGATACATACTTAAAAAAAAAAACGTTTGCAGAAAGATTTTCTGGATTCCAAGTTACAGAGTTTGACTGTCCATAGGCTAACCAAAATCAGAGTTTACACTCCACTGACCTAGTCAGTCTCAGATTCTAGTAGAAATACAGCATTGTTTATAAAAATACAGGAGAAGGTTTCCATTCACAGGAGTCTTCCCAAAAGTCATAAACTAGGAACAGATAAAAGGATGAAGAATTCAAAGAAAGAAAACTCAGCCTGAAGTTTATGAAGACAAGAATTTCCCTGTCAAAACAGTATTTCATTTCATCCTGTCTTGGTGATTGCAGTGTCAGATGCTTCCTAGAGGATGCAAAAAAAATCCCACTGGGGATTCTAGGACAGTCTGTTCTCTTTGAGAGGTCATTTTTCTATTCTGCTAAGTGAGTTTGAACTTAAGTTGCTGAACCTGTAACAACGTTAGACACTGTCTGCTTGAAACTCTCTTTCAAGCATCGGTTTTCAGGTAGTCACTTTCCTATGTGCCTGGTGAAGTTGCCTGTTCTCTTTCTGTAGCTGAATAAAAGACTGCAGGAGATCTATTGCTTTGAAGAACAGCCTTATCTCAACAAAATATAAAACTAAGAAACAGGAGAATTACAGTAAACATGGTAATAAAACTGGAAGAAGACAACAACCTCTGCCAACTAGAAGTACAACAGCAGCGATGTCAGGCAGCATGCTGGCTTTTGAAAGACTCTCAGCATAATCCTAAGCGTCAAGGCAATTTAAGAAGTTTTCAGTAACACTGACATTCTAGTACGTAACTTTATACAGAGATGGACCATCAACTATTAAGTTAAACGGGTTCAGCTTTTGTTTTTTTTAAACTGAGAACAGCTAAAACCGTTTCAGAAGCAGTACACACGGTTTCATACATCATCGGTCAGGGCGAAGACGTCGGTTCTTTCACAGGGCTCTGCTCTCCTGGTGGGCTTCTCTTCACTGACAGCCTCTAGAAGCTGCAGAAAAAAGGAGTGAAAGATGCAGCACAAAACAAGAGCCAGGCTGGTAATACAGAAAATGCCCCTCGCAGTGACATTTCCAAAGATGCTACTTAAGCACATACGTCCTGCTAACATCCACCTTCGCTGAGACCAAAAGGCGCTCACGCAGTGCAGTGCAATGGCTTGGTTTCAACCCATGTACAAAGCCAGGGCAAGAACCAAGCTTTTTTTTTTTCAGGTGAGGGGGCTCCGGGCCGGGGCTGCGGGCGATGGCTGCAAGCCCTAGCGGGGAGGCCCCTGCTCCGCCCGGAGGGCCCTCTCGTTTCTCCCCTTGCCCCTCCGGCCCCACTCCATCACGGCGGAGAGAA